GCAAGTCATTTAACCTCCTGCACTTCAGTTTACCCACATAAAATATTACCTACTTCCCAGAGGGGCATGAGGAGTGATTAATTTTTGTAAAACATTTTGAGGTGCTCAGATATAACATGTGGTGGTGAAGGTGATATTATTAGTTGGTTATATTTGCAGTAGTAACAGGGATGTTTCTTACATTGAGTGGAGTCTCAGGGGTTCCACACTTCACCTTGTATTAGTACTGCCAAGAATTGTAAAACTTTGGGTTTTGTATTTCAGGTTTTCTCCAGAAAACACAGAGCTCCTTACGACCCTGGGTTTACTCTATTTGCAGGTACAAAACACTGCTGGCTACTATGTGGACCTAATTATATTTTAAATGGCTTGGCAGTTGCATATGGAGTAAATTTCTATTCATCTCCATGTGAGTTTGACATATTTCTCAAAAGGGCACATCAGACAAGATGGAGCTTGCTCCTCTGTCTCTTCTTTTCTCATTTGGCTCCTGAAGGGAAGTAACTTGATTTCCTAGTTCTGAGCCAGAGCAGGAATTCTATTTGGCTATTGCCCTAATTGTGTCACTCACTCTTCCAAGTACAGTAAAACATGACTAGTCATTACCTTGTTTCTGGGGAAGGAGCTTAGCGAGTTATTCTCTTAGAAAAGCAGCCATGAAATTGTTTAACACTAATGCACCTTGGAGAAAATCGGAATTGATTTAAATAACACAGGCACGTTTATCATTAGGGACTTGGGTCATGAGCAAAAGATCATCTGTCTCCCAAATTACCTCCTCATTGCAGTATTTGGTACAGCTGTCATCCTTTGCTGAAGGGGGCTGCAGGCCAAGATTGAAGGACATCAGTAGAGCTGTGGAGGGAGCAGGAGAGGCAGAGCAAAGTATGGTGCCTGGGCAGAGTAGCGTGGGCAGAAACTTGCACAACTGTCCACACTGTGACTTCGCTTTTTTGTGGTGTATCACATCCCTGGACTCCAAAATTCATTCCAAATACCTTGCCAGTCTTGATTGTCTCCATGAGTCACAGCAGGGGTTAGACGCCTTCTGTTAATAGGCACTGGTGCAGTTGTGGGGGAAGGGGAAGGTAATGGAGTTTGAATAAATTCATGGACCAACATGAGACACCATGGGTTGAATTTATATCTTAATTATACCAGTGCAATTCCTGAGTATCTCCATTGAAGCCAGTGAGACTTAAGCATGTGGTCAGGGTTAGCTTCACTTCTGTATGGGCCTGCAATGCTGCTGAGCACTCTCAAGTCCCATTTACTTCAGTTGTTGAGGGCAGTCTAAGCAGATAGACTTTGGGGCATTTCTGACCAGGGAAGGGTGCTGTGGAGGGCATGGGGAGGGAGAAAAAGTGGTCAGGGAATCTGTGCTGTGGCTTATAGTGCTCAGGAAGTCAGTTCCTGCTCCTTTGTAGAAAAAACTCTCCAGATAGTTCTTATTCCCCAACACAAACTATATAGAAATCTAGTTTCTGGGCTAGACAGTCTGCGTTGGGTTGAGTTGTGTTCCCTCTGTTATCAGAGGAATCCATTTTGTTCCAGCTGGTTGTGGATTGTGAAGTAAGAACACTGCACATGTGAGAGTGTAACTGCAACAGAATAAAGCTAACTCTTATGAATCCCTTACTTTAAGTGATAACCAAAAGCACTGTTTGTTATCTGCATATTTAACCCTTCTGGGCCTGCATTTCTGACACTCCTTTGTTTTTTCCCAGCTTGGGGTTTATCAGAAGGCATTTGAACATCTTGGAAACGCACTTACATATGATCCCACCAATTATAAGGTACCATGAGGACTATATACTAGCCAATTTAGTGATGACATTAGGCCTGTAAAAACTAATTCTTGTGTAAAATATCCCCAGTACCAGAGCATGGGCTGAGAAGGAGGCCAAGCTCCTAAAAAGCTTGTTCCAAAATGCATTTCTGTGACCTCCATCTGATGGGGATAGAGGATATTATCTATGGGGCCTGTTTGCTTTTAATGGAAAGTTTCATATATTTTTCATAGAAGAATTTTTAACAAATGGAAATTACTTTTCTCTAACCTATTACTTCAAACTGTTGCAATTCATCACGAGCGCTGTGCACCACATTCCTGGGAATTCAGTATACCTTTGCGACTTTCTGGAGCAGAGCACAGACACAAGTGAATAAGGATGGTGTGGTGGAACATCACTCCTTTGCTAGTCTGCAAAGATCGTAATTCATACATGGTCTCTCTCCCAGCTATAATGGAGGGTAACTTTGGTCTAGCTAGTTAAGGATGAGATCTGAATAATGGGGATAATGTAAATCATTTTGAGATCTATGGATGGAAAAGCAATGAATAAATACAAACCAAGTATTATTATGATGAAGACTACATTACTTTTCCAGACTCTATGCTAGCTCGCTGTGAAGTATTACAAATAATTTATTGGACAAATGTAGTTTAGTTTAAACTAAGTTAATTTTGGTGCAGTATCTTTGATTTTCTTTTTAATCACATATGTTCAGTAGTTTGCAGTGTCACCCTCAGCCAGTAGTGTGAACTGTCCAGGGTTTGCTGTACATGCCTTGGAGTTAAGGAATGTTTTCATCTCCCCTTAAGTTGCCCTGGGAAGGTTTCTGTTCCAGTTTGTCATATGAAAGAAATTATTAGTATCTGGACCTTTTCAGAACCCAGACTTCTGGAAGCTTTTATTGTGAATCACTGAAAGAGAATTAGCTAGTCAGGATGCAGCGTTTATTAGCCACCTTGATCAGGAAAGAGGATGTGGAAAGCATGGGACCCTTTCCCAGTGTCCTGCCCTCTCCCAGCCAGGATGTAGATTTCCCCGTTGTTCTTACTTTGGAAGCCTCTAGCAGAGAGTTCCCCAAAGAGAATCTCCGCTCAGACCACTGGTCTTGTTTTTAGTTTAATAACTTTGTAGCATTTTCTCCTCACCATGTTTGGGGAAGCCCAGTGCCTCAACCACTCACTGTCAAGCTCTTTTGAAGGCTATCTTGGCAGCTGGCAGTATGATGCAGACTCACGGAGATTTTGATGTAGCCCTCACCAAGTACAGGGTAGTAGCCTACACCATGCCTGAAAGCCCCCCATTATGGAACAACATTGGAATGTGCTTCTTCGGCAAGAAGAAATACGTGGCAGTAAGTGCCTGGTTCCCTTCCATTTCCATCTATATTTAATTTGATTTGTGTAAGAACAAATATAAAACAAGGATCCTCCCTCTGTGGCGGAGACTGGAGAAAGTCTTGTCCACTCAGGGTATGTTACTAGCAGTGTTGTTCCTCTTTGCAGGCTATCAGTTGCCTGAAGCGAGCCAACTACTTAGCTCCCTTTGACTGGAAGATTCTGTACAATTTGGGGCTAGTCCACCTGACAATGCAGCAGTATGCATCTGCTTTCCACTTTCTCAGCGCCGCTGTCAATTTCCAGCCCCGGATGGGAGATCTCTACATGCTTCTGGCAGGTAAATGACCCTTCCCTCCTGCCCTCTCCCCTTCCTCCTACCCCACAGAGCTGCATGAATATCATCTTTGGGAAATATCAGATTTTAAGGTGGGAAAGCAAGAGGTGGTGCAAGTTGTTATCTGAGACTGGATAACTCAGCATTCTGGTATTCAGAAGTTTTTCACCAGCAGGTCATGGACTGGTTTGAAATCAGATCTTCAGTGACCAAAAGTCAACGCCTCCTCACTCACTGAAATACAGTTCTTGCTATAGACTAGTGACTACGTCCTCCAAACCACCATGGCTGGTCCCAGCTTTTATGGGAGGACCATTGTGGGGTGATGCAGAGAAGCTTGCACTGGTGCTGCTTATGCAATGACTTCTGGTTAGAGCACTGGGGTTTCTGTGGTATCCTCAGTCTGGCACTCCTCACCAGCACTAAATCCAAGGTTAGAAAAACTAGAAACTAGGCATTGCAACTCCAGTGGTAAGGGGATTGTGTACATTCAAGAGGGGGATTCACCTTGTTCTCCTCCCTACTCTGGCAGAGGCACTGGGAGATTAAACGATCTGGGTAACCTGCATAGAAGCCCTGACTTTGAGCAGGTACCTTAATTGCAGGATTCCTAAAATCCAGACAGATCGCTAATGTCTCTCTTCTTTCTGGGACTGGGACTCAACTTCTGGTCTCATACACTTTAAGATCAGAAGGAACCATTGTGATCATCTAGTCTGACCTCCTGCACATTGCAGGCCACAGAACCTCAAACCCCTCCCCCCACACTCCTGAAATAGATCCATATCCTCTGACTGAGTTATTGAAGTCCTCAAATCATAGTTTAAAGACTTCAAATTACAGAGAATTCACCATTTACTTTCTTTACTGCAGTTGGCTGGGTGTGGGAAGTGTTCATAGTGGTGTTGATTTCTGCATACAAGCAAGGCATGCCGTGGAGTAGGCACAGCTGGCTACAAAAATCTTGATTGACAGGTTTAATAGGAACCTTCCAACTCAAGAATGTATGTCCCATGCTAGTTAAAGAGTTTAAAATCAGTTCCTGTGGAGGTGTCATTGCTGTTCCTGATTCAGATGTAGGGGCTCCAAGAGCAGTGGAATAAAGCATTGACATTCAGAACTATCCTTTGCAAATAGGCTCTATGCCTGGGAAAGCAGAAAAGTCTATTTCAGAGGAGTGAATTGGAGGGTTTGCATTGCTAGCGAGCTTATTTGTGTTCCTGTGTTTCTTTGGACAGTGGCTCTGACAAACCTCGAAGATGTTGAGAATGCCAAACGATCCTATGAGCAAGCTGTAGCGCTGGACCAGTAAGTCTTAATCCTGATGGTCGTTTGGGCAAGCCACTTCCCCCCCACTGCTCATCTGTTTCCCTTTTTGTCCCTCTGGTCTCTTTCGATTGTAAGTTCTTCAGGGCAGGGGCCATTTCTCATTAGGTCTACGTACAGCACCTAGTGCAATGGAGCCCTGATCTTGGTTGGGACTTCTAGACATTATGATAATACTGATAATAGGGCTATAACGAGAGCCTTCACTAATGGTAAACAATTTAATCTGTAATGGCAACAAGGTGAACCACACAGCACCAGTCTTTTAGTCTCTTCTCTCTACAGCCGGATGGCAGTGGTGACGGGTAGTTTTCCTCTATGGAGCCTTAGCAATGATGGAAGTTCCAAAGCCTATAAAAAGAACAGCAGGTTTTTAAACACGTTTGATATTTTAGTGCAGTTGTGCTCTGCAAAGTGACCGTGGAAACAGCCCCTCACTCAGCACATACGTATTGAGAGTTGACCTGCTCGCTTTAGTAGCAAAGTTCTTACTCCTGTTAGCCCTACACAGCACTGGGAGAGAGAGCTGGAGTCTCTTCCCACTCATGCATCAGCAGAATTGTTAACTGTGGTCAAATCATGTGGACAAATCCTGCCCTCAGTTTCCACTACAACCATGCAATCTCGTTGAAGAAATGGGGCCTGCATAATGTTACTTGTGAAAAGGTGTAGGGAGGAAAATCTCAGGCTGACTTAGGGAACCCAAGATTGTTTGAAAGCTCATAAACTGAGCACGTTTAGACAGGAGTTATTGAGAGACAAGATACACAGTTCCCCACTGTGCTTTTTTTACTGAGTTGCTTTTCAGAGTAAAACTGCACCTTTGCCAATAACATGTCATTGGTAACTTGTGAACACCCCTACAATAAGAGAGCATGCTGCATGTATGAAACAAACATTCACACCAAATTCACTACCCACCAAGTCCTTTTTTCTTTCTCCTAGCTTTCAGAATTTAAGCCCTCTGTGATTTGTCAGGGGATCAGATGAGTTAAGGAGCGCATTCAGGCTGCTTGGTACTGTGTTTTGTGGGTAGATCAAAGCGCATGAATTAGAATTCAGCTTTACAAATGCTGCCTAACTACCTGGCACTCTCATGATGCCGCAGCCATGTAGAATTAGCAGAAAAACAAAACTGCATCAAAGCTGACATTCAAACCAACGGCCATTGATTGCTGGGAGGCAAACTCAGGCTGTTTAAGCGTTGGATCTCTGTGGTTTGTTCAGTTGACATCCCTTGTACTTTCTCCAGTTATCCCATTCCCATGGGTATTCTCTTCTGGCATATCTCACACAGTTTGGCTGGGGAGATGACTACAGTTTCTGTTTCCATCTGCATAAATAATTTTTATAGCAGCAGCATATGATATTTCCTCTGGGTGCCAGACTGAAGTCTGGAAAGAAAAGGACCTTGTGGGTGTCTTTATAAAAGAGGTTTCCTCTTTCTGACAGTGGCTAATATATGGGTCTCCTTTCTCCCATTGCTTCCTTAAGTAATGATTGTCCTACCTGTCCACTTCCTTCTCTGCTCTTTGGGGACAGCTCTTATAAATCAGCTCTTGCCTACCCCCACCCCAGTGTTTTTTGCATAAAGGTTGTTCTCCAGGGTGTATCTATTTCCTGGGCTCTGACAGAGGCAGTGAGGTTTTTAGATGTGGGATCAGTGCTTTAGAAATAGTTTCTGTGTTAAAGGAAATTAATAAGTTAGGTCCTAAACGCAATCAGATCACCTTTTTAACAGTCTCCTTCGCTACAGCTTTGTCGCATTGCTTACCCATGACCCATAGTCATGGCCTATGTTCCCTCTAAGCTGTGTGGCCGCGCAGCTGCCTATTAAGTGACGTGCTGGCGTTCAGGACTGTGGCAGGGAGAGATGCCTCTCCCCAAGCCCCGGCCCTGCTGCAGCAGCCCTCCTCCTTCCCCTACCCAGCCCAGCCCTGGACCTTCTGCAGCTGGGGGACAGGCGCCTCAGCCCCGACCCAGCCTGGCCCTGGACCTGCCGTGTCCAGGAGACATGTGCCCCTCCCCCAGCCCTGAGCAAGCCCAGCCCTGCCGTGGCCGGGGGAGAGGCACCTCTCCCCGCCATCCCAGGTGCTGCTGCAAGGAGAGAGAGCTGAAGGGAGTCCTCTTTCTCCACTGTAGCCCTGGGGAGCTCTAGTGCACCCCCAAACCTCTCATCCCCAGACCCACCTCAGAGTCTACACCCCCAGTCAGAGCCCTCTGCCCCACACCTCTGCCCCAGCCGAGAGCCCCTCATCCCCGGCTACACCCCAGAGCCCGCACCCCCAGCCAGAGCCCTCACACACCCCAACCCACACCCCCACCCCAACCATCTGCCCCAGTCATGAGCCTCCTCCAACACTCCGAAACCCTCGGCCCCACCCCACCAGATGAATTTTGTTATGTGCACCAATAGGAAGGTGATGTGTCACACATCACCTCCCTCTTGGTGCACATAACAAAATTTATTCTGCACATGGGTAGGAAAAATTAGAGGGAATACTGGTCATGGTCAGCACACAGTCTGATTTGCTACTTATCAGACAATCTTCAAAGCTTCAGTCTCCAGCACTCGAACCTTTCACAAAGAGCGCGGCCTCTGTCTTGGAGAAGAGAGTAAAGGTACTGGTCTCCTTGGCCGGCACCAACAGCCTCTTTTCACACCAGGAATGGGTGCCAGCTTCCTGACACGACTTTATTGATCAGTGTTCAGAAGCACTGCGCACTTGCTCTGCATCTGTTGCGATAGGTGCAGATGGTTCATCCTTGCTCTTACATGCAAGGTCATCCTCCCTGGAGGAGAAGTACAACTATAAATTGTGCCTCTAATGCACTCACTTATTAGTGTTCCTCCCCTTGGAAGGTGATTCTGATTCTAAAGAAGGCCTGGCCAAACACAGCCCATGGCCCTCTACCTCTCAGCCTGCAAGTCAGAATGAACTGCAAGCATCAGACCACTTGGATCAAGACAGAGCATTGCCTGCTGGGACTTGTTGTCTCAGTGGATCACCTGTTTGTACCCAAGAGGAGGCAGACACACTTTACTCAGTTTTCTACAAAGATAGTGCCGTGTTCAGACTCCTAGTGAGTTCTCAGTGCATCCCTCAGGCAAAATATGGGAATCTCAGTTAGAATGTAAGCCATGTTGTCTATTCAAGGAAGAAAGGGGACCCGGCCACTGATGTCCATACACCAACAGAGAGCAGAGGGAGTCAACTGTCTTGCTCATTTAGCTTGCCCACACAATTGGCACTGTCAGAGCACTGCAGGGACTGCTAGAGGGAAATCTACTGCATGGGGTTTCTGTGCGTTACCTAAGAGCCTGGAAGCTTTGGAAAATGAGAATTTTGGGAGCCAAACTGCATTTCTGAAATAAACACTCAGCATTGCATCCAGAGAGTGATAGGACCGCACAGCACAGCACAGCACTCCAACATCGGGGAATGCCACATTCTTAACATAGTCCTTGCATGGAACTTCAACTTTTTGGGTAGAAGGGAAGGAAGATGGGAAAAAGGGATGAGAGAGCTTTGTTCTGCAGCATCCTGAGACTCTGCTGGCTTGTCAGACACTGTCAGTGGCATGTGTCAATTCCAGAACCTGGAACCGTGCGGCTTCACGCCACCAGCTTGTCTTGTCCCACAGTTGTGAGGAGAGAGCCCTTCTCCTGCAGATCTTCAGAGCGGCAGAAGCCTTATATGGATCAGAGTAGGGCTCTCCCAGCACAGTGTAAAGACCCACCCACCACTGAACCACTGTGCACATTAAGATTTGTGGGTGCTCAGACAAGGGGTCCATAGGATGCTTTCTACCTCCCCCTGTTGACAAGCAGACTGACTTCACAGCTGCCAATTCACCCAGCTCCCCCGGGGCAGGGGATGGGAGACATGGAGGAGATTTGTGCAGAGGTGCCGCACAGTGCAGCTCGAAGTGCCACTTACAGGCACTTACTCCAGCTGCAGATCTGGACACACAAACACTTGGCCAACCAGGTTTAGGTTGGCGAGAGGGACTTTAGCAGGAGGCTAAGCAGTCGAAGGAGCCATTAACATTGAAACCAGGTTTACATGAAAAGAAAAGGAGTACTTGTGGCACCTTGGAGACTAACCAATTTATTTGAGCATAAGCTTTCATGAGCTACAGCTCACTTCATCGGATGCAACATGAGCTGTAGCTCATGAAAGCTTATGCTCAAATAAATTGGTTAGTCTCTAAGGTGCCACAAGTACTCCTTTTCTTTTTGCGAATACAGACTAACACGGCTGTTACGCTGAAACCAGGTTTACATGGAATACTTCACTCGCTTGGTACACAAAGTTCACTGAGCACAAATTTCCCCACCAAACTGGTGGGTGCCTGCTGCCATTTTAGAGCAAGTTGTATACAACTGTGCACACAAACCCAGTTTGTGTTCATGGCTCCCCTGTCAGCCAGGCTTCCCCAGCTGCTTCCATAGCTACACACCTGCCAAGAAGCACAGAAGCTCACCCTGCCCTGGTGTTCTCTAGGAGCTCTGCAGCAAACCCCCTCTTAGCCAAAACACACTCATGCATGGCATCTCATTGGGGCCATTCCTGCACTCCACTGTAAGTGACCGCCCCAGCTGTTTGGTCTGTCGAGCTGGTCCCAAATGTTGCACAATTTTTTTGTGGGTGGGGAAAGTGTATTGTTTTTCCTACTTCAGTATTGCTGAACCAAATGTGCTCGGTCTTTCAAAAACAACTTGCTTTCCAGCAGAGATCAAGCATAGAGCATGTCAGCCTGAAAGGTTAGGAGCAGCGGAAACCAGGGGCTTCAACTAGGAACAGCTGAACAACCTTAACAGTAACACTAGAGCAATCTCACTGCATCGCTCTGAGCACTTGCTTCCCAGGAAGGTTGCCATGGTCATATGCAGAGTACCTGGAGGCTGTTTGGTAGTGTGGGATCTCCAGCTTTGCTGGGTGTAGCCAGCTCGGCACAGTGCTAGTATCAGAATCAGTTCTCACCTGAGATTTAAGAATGTTACTCTTGGCAGTGTATGTTACTGATCCTGTGGGCTGTCTGCTGCAGGTGCAATCCCCTGGTCAATCTGAACTACGCTGTGCTGCTCTACAACCAAGGGGATAAGAAGGGAGCACTATGCCAGTACCACGAGATGGAGAAGAAGGTCAACTCCCTGAAGGAGAACAGCGCTCTCGACTTTGACCCTGAAGTATGTTAATAAGAACAGCCAGCTGGAAGCAAGTAGCTGGTGATCCCGTGCTGTAAGAGGACTTGTCCGCCTGGTGGCGTAATGTGCTGTACGGGGATGGAGTGCACTGATGTGTGGCACATTAATTGGTCTGTGTAGACCCTGCTGGGGCACACTGAAGGGTCCCTAACGGTTCTGGAGTGCACCCTTGCTGGGTCAGAACCGTTAGGGAACCTTCACTGTGCCTCAGGAGGGTCTGCATGGCCCAATTAATGTGAACCTTTCAGTGCTCTTCAGAAACCACACCTCCGTACAGCATGTTAACCCACCACGTAAACAAGCCCTGAGTGGCATCCAGTGAGCAGGAGCGTCCCTATACCTTTTGGGACCTGAGTCCAGTTAATAGAGACTGGATCAGTTATCTAGACACACCTAGCCGGACCAGGTACCCAGTGAAAGCTACTTGCTTCCTCTCTGCTATTAAAATAGGCTTTTCAATCTATGAACAAAAAGTCAGGATTCTTTCTGAAACAAATAGATTATCAGAGCTGTGCTTCACTACAGCACTGTGGCTGCGCTAACCAGTTATGTGTAACTCCGCAATGTATTGTGACACTGGAATCTGAGCTCATAGCTCCTGGTAAGAAACAAAATGCAGTGTCTACTTCTGGCTCCCATCCTCTGAGTTTGTGAGATTTGGGGAAGAGGTCGGTTACCTCATCTGAAAACTTCACAATCAGCTCCTCCTCACCCAGGTTTCTCAGGGCTGAGTGTAGAGCTGTGGTGTAGTGCATTCTTTTTCAAGAAAGGCAGGCTGTGCACCTTCAGCGAGGGGCATCATTTACTCCTGTGCTCACCATCAGAGTGGAGGCCACTGTGAGTTGCCATCTCCTGTTGGGAAACCCTTACACTGTGTGTCATGTTCCCTTCGAGTTGACCACCGCCCTTGCTGTAAGCCCAGCTCTAGGGTGAAGCCGCTGCTAAAACCCACAGATGGAAGCTGAGGCATAGTGGTCCCTGCTTGGACAGGCGCTGCTGCCCTGGCTCCTGCCGAAAGTGTACCTGGTGGTGATTTTCTCCTCTCTTTCTTTCTGTTGCACGAGAAGATGGTGGATGTGGCCCAGAAGGTGGGAGCTGCCCTTCAGGCAGGGGAGAGTCTAGTCTGGACTAAACCTGTCAGAGATTCCAAATCAAAGCAGCGAAACGCTACATCTAGCAAACCCTCCAGCACTCAGCAACCTCTGGGCTCGAACCAAGCCCTGGGTCAGGCCATGTCTTCAGCAGCTGGGTATGGGAAGACTATGCAGCTTTCTACAGGTAGGTCTCTTTTGCATCTCTGTATGGCATAAGAGGAGAGGGTGTTGGGATTAGCGGAAGAATTCACTGCCAAGTGGGCACATCTGTCCCACTCCCTGTACCCTGGATTATGGAGTATATTTAGCAAGACACTTACATGGTGGCACGTATAGGCACAAGAACTTAGCATGTGACAAGACCAACTCCATGAGTTAAGTGTGTGTGGAACAAGTGTGTTCTTCCTATCGAGTACGAGCATTGCGTTATAGCGTAGTGCTCCCGTAAGGTTGCTGAAATCTAACCATTTCTCTTCCTGCCCCAGCCATGCTGGCCAGTGTGTTACCATGAGATAAGTTTCCTCCCTTGGCTCTGGGAAGGAGGTGGTGTGAACAGTGGGATCCCTTGTCTTCATTCATTAGAAAACAGATGGCTGAGATTGGAGGGGGCAGAAGAGAGAGGCAGGCTCCTGGTAGAGGGGAGAAGGAGGAGGGCCATCCTCTCATTCACAAAACAAACACTGGGTTGTTCCAGGTGACACTAGCAGCAGCCAGACCCCTCCCTTTTAGTGAGTTCCATCCTACTGCAGATAGAAAATAGAATAAAATCATCATCAGTCAACGGGCAACAGCGAGCCAGGCTACTCCTTGTTGAAGCTGTTGGGGCGTGTTCTGTTAATGTGGATGGAACAGTTGGTCCTGAAATGGCATACACTCGCCTCTCACAAGCACCCCTGCTCGAGTGTGTGTGTGCCTGCAGTGTTCTCAATTTCTTCTGCTCACAGTGCCCCGTTGGCTGCTGTGCTCCTCAGGCCCTCTGGCCGAGTCTCACACTGTCCATGTGTGCAACAAAACCCCTTCCAGGGTACACAATCCCCAGTGTCCTGCAGCCCTCCCTGGGATCAGTCTTCTAAAACAGTCCAGCAGGGCCCATTGTGGTACCCTCAGTTGGTGTGTCCTCTGCAGCCCTCCCTGGGCTCAGTCATTAATCAGTCCAGCAGGGCTCATCACGGTACCCTCGCTTGATCCGGCTAGGTTGCAAGGCTCCTACTCTGGAACTAAGCAGTGCCCCAAGGGCTTCTTCCCTGTGGACTTCTTGCCCCTACTTGAGTCCTCAGTGACCCCAGCTTCCTGCTGAGCCACCCCTTTGGGCTCAGTTCACTGACCACAGCTCCCTGCTGAGTCAGTCGCAGTGCAGCTCCCTTCCCTGGGGTGCCACAGTTCTAATTCCCTTCCTTATGGTGTAGCCACTTTCCTCAGTGGCTGGTGGGGGGAACCCAGTCCCACCCAGTGTTCAGGTCCCAACCCAGGGAACCTGTTAAGTATAGCAGCCCCATGCTGCGTCTCTTTAGTAATTGCTGCTCTATTTCCCTGGGCCACTTCCCCGTGGCCCATAGTAGTTGAATCCCAGCAGCCAGCCAGAAGCTACTCCTTCCTCACTCCCCCAGTCCCTGTCAGCAGACTGATCTATCCAGCCCGCTGCCACTCTAGGCAGCTTGGAGGACTTTTCTGTTGCTCTTTTCTGGGGAGCAGGGCCACAAGGCCTCCAGCAGGGGGCCTCAGGGTCTACCTGGTCACTGGTCCCAAAGAGTCAAAGGTGTGAACATGACTCTGAAACTGTCCAACATGAAACAGCGTTAAACACGGATCAGTGTTTGACACACAGAGACCTCAGCCTGCCCAGTACCATGGCAAACACACCATTAAATGGCTTTGTAACCTTTCAGTAAAGATACAGAAAAAGAAGGAAAAACAGTTAAAGCCTTTGAATTGTAAAGCATTAAGCAAGGCTTTCACTTTAACAATAGCCCTTTCCCTTTATCTGGAGAGCATTTTTAGAAGAGTTATCAACATGGTACTAACTGTCTTTTGGGGAGAAAAGAGAAGTTAGTTGAGCTGGGCTGCAGCTGCTGCTGTTGCTAAAGTCCGATCCCATTTCCTAAGAAGACAAAACAGGACAAACACAGACAAAAGGAGACAGAAAAGAACAGCAAAGATAAAAATGCAACTTCTGTCTCTGGTGTTGACTTTCACTTGCAAACTCATTGCTGGAAAAACACAGGCCCAGCACATGGTCCCATCAGACACTCTGATACCTGGCCAACTTGTACCAGCCTCGGGCTGTTCAGGGCATTGCTTTTCATTGCCTCTCTGGGCACAGGCTCACAGCAGTGTTGCAAAATATGCAGTCTTGGCCAGCTAGGCCAAACTCTTATTAGACAGAAGAGAAAAGGAGAGGAATAGGAAAGAGAAGAAATAATGTGAAGAAGGAAGAGAACACACAAGAGGTGACATGTAACATTTGAGCACAAGTGAAAGGTTGCGGGGGCACGTGACCACTCCATGCATTGCCTCTGGCCTTTCCCACTCCCCCCATGCCTCCCAAACCCGCTCTAAGCCAGCACCACCTTGCCCCCACTCCCCTTACAGCTCCTTCCCCGCTTAGTGTTGAAATGGTGCTTGTTAAGAACAGAAGATGCAGAGCTGGAAATTAATGAACCACAACTGATGTGTCGGATACTAGGCCTAACTGGTGGACACAATAATGTGGGGCTGGGCTGGGGTATTCCACCCACTCCTCCCTTTCGGAGTCCTTAAAAGAAAGATTTTGTGGGAAGAGTATGAAGGAACAAAAAGAAGCAGGGAAGAACAATCAGAGGCTACTGGAGCGAGCCCAACCATCATGGGACCCCGGGCCTTCTTTATCCTGCTCCTGAGAGAAGGCCAGAGAGAGGGACCCAGACAATATTATCACCTCTGCCAGCTCCAGCTGAAACCCAGCCACCACCAGGGATGAGAGGACTTTACCAACAGCAGCAATAACAAGAGCTCCAGCTCACCTCAGCTAACTTCTCTGTTCCCAACAAGGAGTTGTTATCATCTGTGATACCATCAAAGAGACTGTCAAACCAAGGAGAAGTCCTTTTAAACCTCCCTCCAGCTGAAGAGAAAGGGAACAAGGGATGTTAATGAAAGCCTCACTTAACGCTTTACATTTCCAAGGCTTTCACTGTTTTTCCTTCTTTTACTGTCTCTGTACTGAAAGGGTACAAAGGGTTTTTAATGGTGTTTGCCATGGTACTGAGCAGGCTGAGGTCTCTGTGTGCCAAGCCTTGTTTAACACTGGCCAGTGCTGGACAGTGACTGGGCTGTGTTAATGCCTTTAGTCCATATAATCCATCCAAATTCAGACAACATGCCTAGGTCCAGCACAGGCACAACCTTTTGCTTCAACAATTATTTGCCGTTTCCTGTGGCATAAAGAGGAGTGTATGGGACTGTGGCTGTAACCCTGTGTTGTATCAACAGGTGCTGGAGCATCGGCTCCCCTTGCAAAGCCCCCGTCGCTGCCTCTGGAACCTGAACCGGGCTCAGAAACAGGCCCCGAAGAGACCACAGTCCCTACAGAGCCCCAAGAACGGAGAAAAGAGAAGCGCAAAAGCAGGCTGACCACAGAATAGAACAGCAGCACTGGATGGGCTGGGCAGGCATGGGGGCCTGCTGGGCTGTTGGGAGCAAAAATCTTCGCTGCCACCTCTTAACTCAAGCATACCGTGAGCTTAGGCAAAATGCAGCTGGATGCCGATACAGTGACATTACCACTTGGCCTCATCCTTGTCTCAGTGATTCTTTGCTCCATGGCACCCAGAAGAGGTTCTGATGAGCTGCCCACTCGTGCTGCTGTGCTACTGCATGGGAGAACAGAGGTGCAATCCCTTACTTCCTTGAGGGAGGGGCTGCTGTAGCATTGCACACAGCGCGTAGGTGCTGAGTCACTGAGATGGGCTGAGTCAATAGGATGGTTTAGCGAGGGCCAACTACGGTGACTGTGCAGCTTTTAAAGCAGTAGCTTGGATCAGTTTTCTAATTAGAACCGAGAGAGGATCATGCCCCTTTGGCAAGTGAGCCTTTTAGCTGGCTCAGAGGAAGCTCTACCAGCCTCTTGTAGTAAGGTCAGTGGAAGAACTGGAGGAGGGGAGAAGCTAGAAAAATTAACAGGACAAGTGAGTGGAAGCCAGATCAGTCCAAGGAGTGAAACAACCCTGAACGCAGGCCTGGAGGAGAGGCTACTCTCCATTGCTCAAAGGGAGATGTGTGCAACCTGCATGCCTGTTTACCAAAGCCCAGCCTCTGGTCGGGGTTGTCCATAAACCTGGGGAAAGCATTTCCAGCCCCCTTTCCTCAGGCAGCTAGCTGCAAGGCCACCTGCCTGGTACGTTGGGAGAGGAGCTCCCTCCCTCAGAGCTGTTTGCAGTGCTGTCAGTCCTGCAAGGTAGAGGTGACAGGGACTGGGAGGGAGCAGACTTCTCTGTAATAGACTCACCCGTTAGCTGGTAGCAAATGAAAGGAGACTGGACTTTCATCCACAATGTAAGTCTCTTGCTGGTTTCACTCCAGGGCGCTCTGGCTGGCAGAGTTACAGCAGGCAGGGGGCACTTTGATACCCTACTAACACGCTGCCTCAGTTTGGTGGGAGTTTTAAAGAGTGTGGAGTAATTTGCCTTCAACACCCAGCTCTCCTGGAAGTTACTAGCACCTTGAGCAGGTTGATTTCTCTGTTTGTTCTGCTGGTGATGGGCTGGAACCAATTCCATTCCCACAGTCACTAAGTGAGAAGGGACAGGCTGACAGAGCCAAACAGAATTGGAAATAGTGGCTGATTTAATTTCTGCCTTTTCCAGCATCCCTGGGGAAGTTACAGTTATAACCTCTTTTGGGAACTTACACCAGTGGAGAGTTCTCTTCCTGAAAAGTAGATTCATGGTCTCAGGAAAGCCGGGTGGTAGCAGGCACGAGGATGTGTTGGAACTGAGAATTAGCCTATTTCCTTAGAGTCACTTACCTTCTGATGCCCTCCCTCCATCCCTCCCACATAAGTTAAATCCTGTTGACACTAACTGGCCTAATTTTAATAAAGCCATTGAGGTTGGACAACCTCGGTAGTGACCATCTCTACCTTTCCATCAGTTCCAACCCTTTCCAGACTCAACTGCAGTCCACAACGGAAAACTGGCATCTTGTTTATTTTTTAAACTTCAATCCATTCAGCCCTGTACGTGCTGGGAGGGGAAAGATTATTACCACTAAAGAAACGGCTGTAACCCAAAGCGCCTGTGCACTTGGGCTGTCTTGTTCTCCAGAAGTGATGGAGAGGAGGGGACCATAGTAAGAGCTTTTCAGATACAGCTTTTCGTGGTAATCACTAGTGCCCAAGAAAGTAGCATAGTTGGCCTGACCCACGGCTGTTGCTGGGACAACCTGTCTGAGGAAGATTATTTGGCAAAAACAACACAGCAAGATCTTCTGTGTGCTCCCTTCCCTACAAGGGCGAGAGCAGGGTCTAGGCTTTGCATTTCATAACTTGCTGCTAGTTATACCAATTAGGTCATTTACAGTTTTCTGTTGCTGAGATAGCGCTCACCTTTTGAAAAATTTAGCTATTGTCAACTTTACCCCAGCTGGCAAGGGAAACTCTTCCCCAGCAGCTGCAGCCAGGCTAAGCACCTCACACCTGAATGGAGCCATATGAGACTATAAATGTTACACACAGGCTGTTTTCCTTCTGAGTTAAGAGACTAGTTAAACTAAAGGTGAGGCCAGTTTCTCTGCCCTTAACTCACTAACAGTTTGTATCTCCTAGCTGCCCTACCCTGCCCTGGCCCCAGTTCCACAGAACACTCCAGCCAAAAAAAGCTGCTTTTGCAACATAAAGCAGAACCACTATCATCGACATAAAATGTCAGTAACTCTTACTGGTGTAGCCCTTGTCCATCTTACCCCACAGTGATTGTGATCGCTGCCAATCACATCTCAAGCCCCTAACACGCCTACAGACACTGAATTAATAACTTGTGCAAGGAACCCTTCATTAGTGTTGTAGGAACCTACAGTGTGTTTCACAGGTTTTCTGTACCTACAGCTCCCACTGCTGTCAGGATATCCGGTGCTCAGACCTCTGAAAGCTAGCCTAGGCATGATTTACAAGTCCTGAATTTAGCTGTATTATGGGATAACAACCTTAAAGTTTCATCAGTGTTATTTTGCATAATCAACAGTAACTAATCAGAATGTACAAGGGAGGGCAGTTAACGTTACCAGATCCTTAGCTTGGTCACCGAATGCCTGGTGCAACATGGGCCAGGTTCTGGGAATAACAACAGCCCTGCTGTACATTCCGATTAGCTACTATCATGCAAAATGACGCTAACGCAAATTTAAGGTTATTAAAGCGCAATCAGGAACCAAAGTTAATGTATTTTGGGGGGTTAGCTGACAAATGGCTGATGAGCTCTTGATCTATTAAACACACTAAATGAACAGCAACAGTTCACAATTTTTGGTTTGTAACCAAAGTGCCCTGTTTAAACCAGGTCTGACTTCCTCACAACCCATTTAACTGTGTTGCAGTTATTTTGTATTACAAATACTAGAGGCCTCCCCCTGGATCAAGGCCCCCCTGGGCTAGGGGCTGTACAAAACAGAGTTCTTTCTCTGGAGAGCTTACAATTTAAGTAGACAAGACAAACGGTAGTTGAAATGGGAAGCAACTTACCGAAATCATAACTGATCATTCTAGTATCTTGTTAGTTGCAGTTTTATATTGAAATAGTCATGCTGAATGTCACTGTCATTTCCATGGGGTGCATGTGAGAGGACTGATTTTTACTGGAAGAGCACAAAGCTGGGGCAAGGAGTTTTCTTCACTTCTAAAGTATGGAGAGAATTTTTTTTTTTAAATAAACAGTTTGCTTCAGCTTCAGCATCCCCCTTCAAACCTCTCTGTGTAGTTTCTTCAGCATTTAGGTGCAATAGTTAAATGTGGGCAGAGGAAGACTTGATAAGCAAAACAAAGTTGCTTTAATCCCTCTTGTTGATGTACTGCTTTGTACCTTACATTAAAACCCCTTTCAGACTAGGGAGGGAACAGCCCCTTGCGTTAGTACATAAAATAGGTGACCAGACCATGGAATGGTGACTGCCTATGCCCATGGGAAGGTGATCCACTGAAGCAGGAAGACTGGGGCTTCTCCCACTGTCCCAAATACTAGTCTTACTGGTAGTGAACTGTTTGGTTGAACTTTTAATCTTACTCTGAACAGTGCCTGTGGAAGCAGAGGAAAGAAAGGGGTGGGGAAAGGCCTGTTTCTAGCAGGTTATGAAATACATTTGCTACACTTAATTGATTCAAGCAGCTGCTGCCCCACTGACAGTTTCACAATGTAGTGTGGCTCATGAGGAGCCATACACCTTGATCTTCAGGAGAGAGGAGATACTTGAAGAGCTACACCCTACTTGCCCTGTCCCCAGAAGTGTGTAGCCCCCTTTTTTAGGCTCCTGGATGCTAAGATCGTATGATGCTTTTACAACGAGGATTTAATGTTTACAGAGTACACACATGGATGGTAGAGGTGTTTTAAATAACCTTTGGGGACAGCATTCTCCTTCTGTGGAATCAGACTGTGGGACCTTGTTAGTCTCTAGACTTGGGCTAGGGGAAGAGGGAATTTAACTTTGGGGGAAATTTTTAAATGTGTAAATAGAGACCGTAGATGATGAGGATAATAAATTGAATTGGAGTGCAGCACGTGGTTTTGTATACAATGGATTCACAGTAGTCGCTTCCCTGTACTCTCCAACTTTGACCTGGCTGATGGAGAGTGAGGCTAGACTGGTAATGAAAGAAAGGTAAGTGTAGGGATTTTTCAGTGGAATTTATGCTGTTTTTGTTCTCCTTCCCCCCAAAACAAGCTGCTTGGCTGAAACATAATACTGAAGTGACAGTTTTCCTTCTCTTTCCATAAATAGGTACGTAAGAGGGAAACAACAGCAGGTCAGAAAGAGCTGAGAGTTGGATTTCTAGAGCCATTGGTGCCCCTGGCTTCTTTTGAGCACATCCACACCACAGACCAGCTTACCTTGTCCCGTCTAGTTTCCACGTAGGCAAAAGCCAGGCGTGCTAAGCCACCTCATAAGAGCACGTGCTATAATAAATAGAGCCTTGCAAATCTGCAGATAACCAGTTTATTTCCACCCGTGAGGATATCCATGGACCATGTCTGCGGAGTGGCTGCAGATACAAATTTTGTGCCCACATAGGGCTCTAATAATAGGCTCTAAGGGAAAGGACATGCAGGAAAGGCTGTCATTTCAGACAAAAGTAGCCTAGAACTAAGTCAGACACATGCTGTTCCAAACTAGGAAGATGGATTTGCACTTGGCAGAGCCCCTTCTATGAAGACAGACAACTTTGTAAGCTGATTGGAAAAAAAGCTTTACTGAAATAGCGTGACAAACTATATACAGAAATGCACTACAAAAATCAAAGCATAGCATATAAAAAGTCCCAGGATGCTTACAATAGAAAAGACACATTAATTTTACCTCAAGGAAGGTTCCCCCGTGTGTTCTCCCCTCCCCCAAGTCAAACTGCACAGAAACAGAATTTCCTGTGCCATGCTTCACAGATATTGTACAGTGGAAAAAAAGATAGGCTCAGACACTAGTTTGTATTGTTGAACAGCAGCTTTCCTGAGAAGTTCTTAAGGAAGCTTTTTGGCTCTTGCATTTTAACAAGATCATTCACCCCTAGGTGCCATGGCTTGTGTTCTTCAGCTGCCACTCCCGAAGCAGGATGACCCCA